GTGAAGAGCAAGGATAGAAACACATTTTTGAGAAGGAGGAGGAAGGAAAGAACTAGCCGAAGAGACTGACTGGAAGCTATAATGGGTGCCGTTAGTCTCTGGGAAGGGCCCAAAAGCAGACTGTGATTTCTTAAGACAATTAAAAGCAAATTGTCTGGCTGAGTGATCGCAGGGCAAGGAAGATGCTCCCCCAGACTATAATTCAAGGGGCTGAATGGCCCTCAAAAATTGAGAGGAGAGAAGGGAAAGAAAAAAAAAAAAAGAAGAAGAAGAAAAAAAAAGAAAGAAAAAAAAAACAGAGGATGAGGCAAATGATGGAACAGATGTGAGTGCTTTTGTTGGCAAGACTTGGAGGCTAGCGGGATGGCGATAGGCTAATTTGAGGCGCATAATGCCAGGTTCCTTTCATATGCAGAACAGCACTTTGATCCAGTGTGGATGAAAGTGCTGAAAAGTGGAGAGGATGGCAGGGGGTCTTTTGTCTTTGACAAAAAAGGCATCTGCCGGGCTCTAACCCCCTTTTCTCCACCCCCTTAGCCTAGCAGGCCACTCCAACAATGCTAGCAAAGGGGACAAGTGTCTCCTGACAGCTGAAGAAATCTCCAGGAGGAGAATGAGGTTTGCAGCAATATGTATACCAGAGAGCTTAATCGATTTTTTCCACAGTACAAAAAGGGAAAGGGCCGGGGGAAGACAGAGAGATCACAGTGGAAATGGGAGGTGGGAGGAAAAAAAATCCCTTTATAATAAACTTGTTACTTTTGTTCTCCAAATACATCTTTTCAGGAGATGCTTTGATGCTAGTATGAATACACTTAATGGAGCGGGGTAGGGTAGAGTTGCTGGGGCGGGGGAGGTGTGAAGTAAGGAAGAGTAGTCTTACAGGGAGGACAAATGTAGAGTGATTTTGGTGGATTCCAAAACAGGCAAGATTTTGGAATTAATAAAGTACAGTGCAATGCAAAAGACACCCAGAAGATAGACACATAGTTTGTGTAACATTTGTTTGAGGAATTCAGATCAGTACAAGTTCTTGGGTTTGATTTCTGGGCAAAATTGAAAACTTTTCTTCAAACCTTCCTTCTTTTTCTGTTCTCTTCTTAACTTCCTGAACTGATTACAAATTAAAGCACTTCAGGTCTACGAGGGGATCTGGGAAGGCAAGTGCTATTTGTGCCGAGCAAATACACCAGTTGCAGATCTGCTGCTGATCTGATTCCTGATTCTCCATCTCATGCTCTGTCAACTCTCTTCCAGCTTTACACATCTGGTAAACAAGACTGGGATCGAATCCCCAAAGTTTGATGACTGCAGTCTTCCTTAAGTACCACTTTGTACCAAGTCTAATGTTTTCTTTTAGAAATAATGACAGATAAGAGTTATCGACATCTAAGCGAGACCCACCTCAGCAAATTAAATCATTTAAGAACAGAAGGTTCAGGGATCTTCTTTCTTTTGAGATCCTGACAGCGTTTATCCAGTACTGTTTACCAAAGATAACCTTCACACCGGGGCACAGCTTTAACCAACACCTGGTGCTGCTAACAGCTTCTCCTTCTTTATCCCCACATGTCCCTTTTCTTTCTACCCAGGATTTACCCTTCCCCCAGGAAGATACAAGCGATGCAGAAATAAGGAGAAGCTATCACATTCCTTGACAGGCTCTACACACACCGATGCCAACCTGTAATCCTGTGTAGTTGTTCAGTGGGAGTGCCAGGGTCCCCCTCCAACTGATGCCACCATCCAATTCAGACCAGCTGATGTGGAGAGTATTTTGGCAACAGCATCTCCTACCTTCCAGCTTTGAAATGCCTGCTGACATGAGTTACTATAACTCATTGGGAAAGACTTGGAAAGCAATTGGTGCTGCTTTGATTCCTGGCCATTTGTCATTCCTTGACTTTTCCAGCTCCCAGTGCTTGAAATGTGGTTGAAAATGGTGCTGCGGGACTTTGTCTGCTGCTGCTGCTGTCAGCAAGGGAACTAAGACCACCCTGATCCCTCACACACCTCCAGGGTGAAAGTCACCTCCCCAGGTGGGCTTCAGGTGGTTCTTGTGAGGTTTCACTCTCAGGTGCCACACAGTGATAGGGTGCTGGACAAGAGCCAAATGGGGAAATATATTGCTCACAGGGAAGCCTGACTTGCAGGGAACAGCCCTCTGTACTCCTCCATGCCAAGGAAAAACAACCCACACAGCACCACACAAGCCAGATGTCAGAGCTGAGAAGTCCAGGATAGCCTGCTACGTACAGAGGTAATTGTGATCAGGACTGTGTACAAATCTCGGGTAGTGAGCTTGGACATTTTGTTCTTTGAGGTGAAACATGAACCACCTCATTATGAAAAGCCTATTGTGCTTCTCCAGCTGGGCAGACACATCCTTCAGCTGCCACCATCTTGAGACTTCTCTGTGTGTTCAGTACCAACTCTTCCATCTGCACACCAAAGAGACACCCTTACCATGGTCCAGACAGCTGCCAAAGCTGCCTCGCCACAACGTCTTTGTGTCATGCCAGCAGTATGTCTGGAAATACGAAAGGAGTGGGAGTGGGTTGTTGCTATTCCTGTGTAAACATGTGCAGTAACTCTTCATAACTGCAGGTAGTCATTTCAGTTGTAGATTGTGCCGCTAAGGCAGGTTTATTTAGCTGTTTGCAGTTTATTTTGTGCTAGTTTTTTACTGCTGGTGTATGGGCATGAGGAAGGGAAGATGCCTGTGTGGGTCAGCCTGGTTGCTACAGTCCAGGCCAGGTGTGTGAGCCTGTTTGTGGGAGAGACTGAATCCGTTTCCCCTGAAACATGCTGCAAGGCTGGAGGGAAAAGGTGTATGTGAAGCAGAAAGTAGCCTGCAGACAGAGAGCCAGCCCAGATAAAGCAACAGCAGGAGTGCAGGCTGTGAGAGCACAGGAAGGTTTGCTTTGTTTTCATGTCTCATCCAGCAGGCTGGTGTTTTCTCTACAGAAGATGGCTACCTCTGCTGATTTGTGTTTGGATAAAAATCGAACTGTAGAGATTGCAAAGCCTTTGTGATGTGCATACTCTGCATCGAGGCAGAGCTACCTGACCAGCTCAGGAACCCCTCACAGATCTTACTGCTGCTCCATGGGCAGGGTCAATCTGGTCGTTGTTTTAAAGGCTGCAGAGTTTAGTGAGGACCATATTGTTTTAGTGGTACATTGTCCCAGTGGGTGCTGCTATGGTAGTCCAAATAACCTACAAAAGAAGCCATACCCATGGAAGTGTTTTTGGCTGCACTGGTTGTACATACAAACTTTTCCTGGCATAACCTAGCAGCCCTGGCTGTAGAAACCTCACATTTTCAGCACAAATTTGGCTTCTGTCTCAGTGAATCTCATCTGGTCATTAACATCCATTAGAGCTTCTCTGTGTGGGAAGTGAAGCCAAACAAATGGAAAACAATGGCCTCAGAATGCAATAAACCCCAGCCTCCATGCAAACTTTTGTGCAGAAATAAAGTGGTTTCAATTTGTTTTTGTTTAATTTACTTCCAAATAAAGCAAACATCCTTTGTTAAATCTCCTCAGATAGTCTGATGTAACTTTCCTGAGTGGTTAGTTTGATATAATTTTCCTGAGTGTCCACCTGCAGATATTCTTTTTATCAGGTGCAGTTTGTGACTTTTTGCCCCTTTTAAACACACGAGATGGGAGTGAGTGTTGCTATTCATGAACACCCTTCCAGAACTAAAGATAAATTTTGTGTTCTCATATTCAGTTACATACACAGTGATTTGGATCCAGGTGGGCATTGTAGCGGGGACAGCGTGATTTCAAGCTCTGTGCACTTTTCTGGATTGTTGTCCTGGGAAAGGGCAAATTATGCCTGTTTGTTCCTATATCCGTCCTGTCTTGGAAACCCAAGACTTGGTTCACACAACCTGAGCACATGAATACTCATGTATGAGTTTCATGTTATTGACAAGTACCTCTAGTTTCAGAATGCTTTTGTTGGTGTCCAGGAGTTAACTCCACAGAGACCTTGTCAACCTGCACAGTGCCATCTTGGAAACAAGAGCTAGGAAAATAAGCCCTCATAAGAGTAACTCTGAAATGTGTTTGAAGACCTCAGCAGACATCCCTCAGCTTACTTTCTTTAGAAATAAAGAATAATCAGGCAGAAGATTATAGCAGAACTTGTTGCTTTCTTGTGCCTTTCAAACAGGTCATCTGTGGGGATGCCTGTGCCAGAAGCCAGTGGGGTGGCAGATCTCTGGCTCAGACCCTGAGGCCATTACCAAGAAACACTGACACAAGAAAACCTGTAGAGGATCTCTGCTGATCTACCCTAGGGGTAGGATCTGCTCAGCCACCACTCTTGTGGTTGTTCTAGTGTATGCACAGCTTAAGGCAGAGAGAGTGGGAGCGTTTATTTTCCAAGGTTAATGCTGAGGAGGAGGGAGCGTGCGTCAGGGGCTGCTCTGCCCATGGGGAAGGTAGCAGCCTGGGGCCCTGCCAGCCACTTGGCCCGCAGGCAGCTCCTGGAAAGGATTTGTGCTGGAAATAAGTGGGGGAGCCAGGGGAGCACAATGCAGGAAGCCCCAGGGTGAAATCTTCCGTGTGGATGAGGAAGAAGGGGTGAACAAGGGAAGCCATGCTTGTTTGAGGTGTGGGGATCGGAGACAGTCAGGCCTAGGCTCTATGATGACTGGTAGGCTGCTGTCTAGCGGAGCAAGAGTCTTTCAAAAGACTGTTTAAATAAAGAAACTCCTCTTCTGCATGAATCACATCACAGGGAAAGCCACCCAGAGTTGCGTGTTGCAAGGTGATTTCCTATACTCAGGTCTGTGGGACATGGCAAGTAATTAGCTGCAGACCTGGAGGAGGCCTGGGTTGGTGAAACGTGGAGTAGGGTACTCGGAGTGGGAGCAGCTTCAGCGAGTCCTCTGAGGGTGGTTGCGTGTTTGTGACCTCCTCGAGGAGCGAGTCAAGAACTCACAAGGAACTCTGTCTTTTCCTCCTTCTCCCCTCCCCCAGGTGATCTTTGCTTTGAATCAGACTCTCTTGCAGCAGGAGAGCCTCCGAGCAGGCAGTTTCCAGATCCCCTATACGACAGAAGACCTTATCAAGCATTACAACTGTGGGGACCTCAGCTCCATCATCTTCAACCATGACACTTCTCAAGTGAGTCTTGCCACCGCAGCCCTTGTGCTACGCACACGTCCCGGTAGCTCTAACCCCTGTCTCACGCTTGTCTCTCCTCAGGCAGGGGCCAAAGACAGCTAACCTGTCTTTTTCCTGCGCCTGCTCTTCCAGGAGTCTGCGCTAGCTCACCGCCGTCTTACTGCACACAAGCAGCGAAGGCGCACCTGGCTTTCCCTTTTGGACGAATGCCGTGTTTGCTTTAGCATCAAAGCTCTATGAGTTAATCCTTTATTTTCTTAAGGATCCTGTGGAATTGCGCTAACTTGGGTAGGAGCAAACGTAGTGCCAACAGAGGGTAGAAGCAGGCTCTTTTGTGCAAACAGTGATAGAGAAATGCTGTCTTGACTTTGACACTTGTGTAGGGCTAGGCAAGTTGCAAGCTTTTTAATTTCTCCTATCAGTACGATTCTGCACTGTGGGCAAGGCGCAAAGAAGAGAAATGGAGTGAAACAAAGAAAAAGATAGATTTAGACTGAACGTCAAGGAAAAGAAAACCTCAGAGGCCTCACAGACTTCGTTTATGGAGACGGTTTCCCAAGCAGCACAGTGGAATGCAATGCTCTGATCTTTAAACCACAAGAAAATGCCCAGCAGGGACCAATTTGGCCTGTTTGGGCTGTTAGATAGCTAACCTCAGACTGAGACATCAGGCCTCTCTTTATTCTTGTGTGTGAGGTACTGCCTGGCAATTTGTGCACTTCAATGAAAATGTGGCTCTAGCCTCGCAGTGCTGAACAAGCGTGTGTTGGTACCTGGGCTTTCCCTGCTGAGTAACAGTTTTCGTATAGCCTTTTGATACATACAGCGCAGTGCTGCAGATCTGGAAATACTGTCATACTAACCCTTGCTTCTCTGGCACTGAGCTTTGTGCGCGTGTTACCTTCCTGTCCTGTACACCCTTCAGCCTGCCAGTGCTGGCAACCTGGTTGTTAATAATGCTTAGCTCTTACACAGAGCATTTCATTCATAGATTTGAAAGGGCTTCTCAAAGGAGGCCAGCACTGTAACGGCATACAGATGCTGCACCGCTGTTCTGCTGAGGTGTTGCAGACTGCAGAGCTGATGTTGCCTTGGGGGCCTTGGAAAGAACAGCTCTTGCCAAGACATGCTCTCCAAGGGAGCAAGCGCCCTTTACTTAGACAAGCGGCTCCTCCGCAGGGCAGTCCCCATCACAGCAAAGCTGAATAGCCTGCAAGTTGAACAGCTTACATTTTTAAGGAGAACTTATCTGTGAATTGTATATGACCCTGTGCTTGACCCACTGTGAGCTAAATACCCTTTTGCAACAGGCGGTGATAGTCTGAGTCACTCCAGAGCCTCTCCAGGTGCTGTATCCTTGCAAGGGAAAGCACCTGGCTTAGTGACCCTGCTCCCCAGAAAATGTCTCTTGCAGACCCTGTTCTTAGCAGTCCCTGTAGCTGCAATGTCCAGAGCTACTTATGGAAGAAGGCACGGTGGCTGTGACTCCAAACCCGTGATTCTCTCCAGTTGTAAGAGGTCGGGGTAGCATGCAGCCACAGCAGTCCTGGGGGCCTCAGGAGATGTACTCAGTATTTGAAAAAATACCTTGAAGACAGAACTACACCTGGTAAAACTTTCTTTCCTGACAAAATTTGGCTCTCCTTTTTTTCAGAAAGTTTGGGGATGTTTTTGTTAACTAGTTCAGAGTGTGCACTTACTCTTTGACAGCCCCAAGGGTTTGATACTAGTCAAACTCTCCAAGAAGAGTGTAATTATAATTATAGTTATGTCATACCCATGACAATTTAAGGAAGAAGTATGTAGTTAAAGATGGCCAGGGGCAAATATTTACTTTCTTCAGCCAAGCAATCAGGATTTGGGATCTATGGTGTGGCAAACTGAGAATATTTGTTGACTTCGCCTTTAAAAATAATAATAATCTGGCTGGCTTATGAAATGATCTGTTGAGAGAAATGGAGCACTATGCATTATTAGCAGTTTGTTTAGTCATTTTTGGCTTTCTTTGGGTTTTGTCCTACTGAATGTGTGTTGAAAGACAGGGCAATTGCCACATTCAGTGATGGAGCAAAAAGCCTGTGCATGATGTCTGCCTGAAATAAGTGGCCCTTTTTAAGGACTTTTTTTTTTCTTTTTATCTTAGGTCCCAAATTTCATTAATGCTACACTGCCAGCCCATGAACGTATTACTGCCCAAGAGATAGACAGCTACTTCCGTCAGGAGCTCATCTACAAGCGAAATGAGCGAATGGGAAGGAGAGTGAAGGACCTGCTGGAAGAGTACCCAGACAAGAGCTTCTTCTTTGCATTTGGAGCTGGTATGTGACTGAGGTGTTCTTCGACCTGAACACATTCTTTCCACATCCCTTAGAAGCTTTGGACAAGTGGTTGCCTCAGTTTAGAGAAGGGTCAGTACTTTCACCTTAGTGGACACAGAACACAGCTGTGGTCTGGTAATTGCCCCATACTGCGAAAACTTTCTGCAGTATGCAAAGAGCTCACAACATATGCATTGATTATAATATTTATTAGTTACAGACTCGTTTCTTCTATTTCATATGCACATAGCCACAGATACTGAACCAACGGTAGTGCATACACAAAAGAAATACACAGTTACACAAACATGGTTATGCTCTTGCCAACCAGGGTAGAAGGGCAGAAGCACAGAGCTGAAATGAAAGGTAACAAGAGCTTGCATCAGCATTTGAACAAACCTTTCAAGAACACATCCAAAAGAATAACATTCAGAAGTGTGTGAATCTAAGAGACCTTCTAAATGTAAGGGGAGATGCAAGACACACTTTCACCTTTCTGCTGCAGATCACTGCCTCTTCCACTGCACTTTCACAACTACAAGGGAATTTTGTCTGTCCCTATTTTGGAACAAAGCATTGTTCCCAGAAAGGGAAAAACTACCTCATCTGCTCCTTAGCAGCCAGCAGGAATCCATAGGCACATCTAGTGTGCACATCCAACTCAGTGGGTGGAGAGTGTAAACAAGATTGTTTTGCCTTGACTGCCGTGCTTTGTTCTAGCTCCAGGGAAGGGAAAAAGTGAGAATGAGTGCAGGTGCTAATTCCCACAGAAGCAGTGCATCCTGTCCTCCATGAACCATGTGGGCCTTGTGAGAGAGGAAGAACTGAAAGCACTGTCAGGACCCATGTGATGTTTTTTGCTCTCAATGGCCACTGCTTTAGTGAGGATGGAAGATCTAGACAAGGAAAGGAAAATATTTACTCAAACAGTGTAAAAGCATTAGTATTTGAAGTCTGTGACAACCTCCTCACTTGCAGCAGGGAGCTGTGGTTACAAACTTAACATAACAAGGGTCCTGTGTGTGAGGGCAGAGAGGTAATGAATGGTGGCTGATAGCATCTGTTCAGGCATGCATGAAGATTTGCTATCTCCTTGCCATATCACTCTGCTCTATGCAGCTCCCTGTCAGGAAGGAAGGTGAAGCAGGTACAGTTTGTATGGATTTTGGTCTCTAAGCTAAGACAAGAGCTTGGCTGTACTCCGGTAGCTGATGTGATTCTGACCACACTTGTCCTGGCTGGTCTGAAGTTCCTGATACATCTGCCCTGAGTGCCAGCTGCATCAGTTGCAGGTAGCCATTCCTTGGTGAGGGGGGCTAGCCATGGATGTCAGGGCTCCAGTAACTGGATCACAACAGAGGAATGAGCAGCCCAGGCTCAGATGCAAATGGGCAGACATGCATGCCAGTGTCGCTCTGAGTTAGTCCTGTCTCAAGAGCTGGAGAAAGGAGAGCCTCTCCATCTCCTTGCACACACACACTGCATCCCAGTTGCATCCCAGTAGCTGTGCTGGATAAATCACTTAGCTTCAAGGTTCTTTTGTATCATTTGTCTCCCTTCCAGTCAATTTCCTTGTCTTCCTACTCTTATCCCCCAGACTTCCTTCACTGTAATTAGCATGCACCGTACACTTCCCACAGTCCAGAAGCACTGCAGGAACAGGACAGATGGACAGATGTGTGGCTGTCAGCACCCACTGCTTCTTGCCCTTTTCTCTTTTCTCCCGTGTCCTTCCAAATCCTTCTCTACCATCATGACAACCCAAAACCTATCCCAGGCTTCCTGCATTCTTGCTTTACTCCTTTCTATTATTTTCCCTTTCTCAGCTGCCCCATTCTTTGTCCCAGTTGCCTCTTTCAGTAAAGCAGGGTTAAGATTCACACAGCACTTCGCTGTTGCAGTGCTGCCTAGAGCCCTGGGCCCATGTGACCACGCTTAATGAGTGGCTTATGTGCACGTCTTGCTTTCCAACCACCAAGCAACCTTTTCCATCATGCTTTTGAATCCAGACAGGTTCATACACTTCTCTGGGGACACTAGATCCACTCTGAAACTACCTCTAATTTTACTCTGGCTTTGCTACCAGGCTGGCCTCCATTCTCATCTGCTCTTCCAAATAGCTCTGCATAAAATACAGTGTCAGCCTCCCCCTGCCCCTTATGCAGTGGGGAATTAAACGGCAGTATGCAGAGATACTTGTGAGCAAAAGATATATAGCAGGAACCCATTTTTTTAACAGCACAATTCCTCATTATCCCCTTGTTTGTTTGCGTGGGGACTTCTTTATTTGTTTTGCACTAATTGCCTAAATTAGATAAGTAACATCACAGTGTATAATGCAGAAAACAGATCAATTTTTGTACAGTTCTGAGGTTTTCTTAGTGCACAATGCAAATTTGAGTGCAGGCTTTGATTGTTTTCCAGAGAGCTAATTGAGCCTTTTGCTTATCCAGATTCCTGTATGACAGGTGATTCTGCACAAGATTTATTTTGATGCCAGCAAGTAGTGAAGATGAACTAATAACTTGGGCGCAGTTCTTTGCATCGCTTGAGTATTGTTCTCTTGTTCAATTACTCGAATAGGGCCCCAAGAAAGTGATAGTACAGGGCACATTATAATGAGCTGCAGCAGAAAGTAGCAGAAAAGAGGAAAGAGAAAGCCTATAGGAGAGGGACTAAATCATCATTGCATTGTAGCTTTCCCTCTCTTGGCCACCAGTGTAAAATTTTCTCGCAGCAGTGATTGGTAAATTGCAGGACAAGATTGCATTAAAATGGTAGTAGGTTATCAAAGGGTTCCAGGGTAGAAGGGGGAAAGGACTTTTAGTTGTTTCTTTTCAGATTTTTCCACAGTGTGCCTTTTATTTTTAAAAGAGCTACACTTTTTAAAGGGAAGTTCAATATTCTCCATTAACCAAACATCACTGAAAAAAACCCACACTTTTATCATCAATTATATCCAAAGAAGGTCATGGTTTGTGGATGGCTGAGATATTACAAATACACTCTCTTGTTATATAAAATACTGTTTGCATTTGTATTTTAAATGGGAGAAAAACAGAAAAGATTGATTATTTATTTTATCTTCCTAAGTGGATTGATATAGTTTAGAGATGTGTAATGCATTTTGCACAAAAAGCTCATGTATCTTTTCAGGTCTTAATATAGCTCCATGGCTATAGATTTTGACTTCTTACACAGAATTATATGTGGTAATTTGCTCAGAAATAGATTTGATGGTTAGATCCAGTGTATTTTATGCTTTTACAACATTTTAACAGATCGTACACATTCACCCTGTATTCTGTTGAAAACTCTTCACAGTCAGATCTCATTTCTAGAACTGTTTTTTGTTTAGAAGTAATTTAAGCTTGCACAAAAGTAGAGAGGGAAAAAAAAATAACAGATTCTGCTGAAACTATCCAAAAAGCTTTGCTTTTGGCCAAAGTGCAAACATGGAAAGTCTCAAGCCAAAGGAAGTCTGTTGGAGGGAATTACAAAAACTTACGGAAAGAGAGAGATGGTAATGCCAGTGACATTCCACTAGGTTCAGTAAAGATTTTGTCTTAATTGTGGACAGGCCTTTTTATATAGCAGCACTTAGAGTTACAAGTTAGATCTACTTACTGTTGTCTGTGGAAGAACTTGGGGGCAAAGCCAGCTCTAATCTTCTACAAGCACTCTTCCTTTTGTATTCATTGTTAATTTCTCGGAACTGTACGTGCAGTGTTCAAGATCTGAATGCTAAGCCAAAGTGACTGATGGAGTTTTTTAATCCAGAGACAGCCATGTCAGTAGCAGTATAGGTTTCTGGTTTATCCAGCAGATGCAAATTGAAGTAGAGAGGGCTGCACTGTGCTGCTGTGCTGTGGATTTTTTTCACTTGTACCGGTCTGTTACAAGGGTGCTACCTGCTTGCTGAACCATCGCAGAGTCAGAAAATAGCTGAGGCTGGCAGATCATCTGGTCCAACTCCCATGCACAGAACAGGGTCATCCAGAGTAGATTGCCTGTGTATGATCAGGTTCTGAGTATCCCAGAGACAGAGACTTCACAGCCTCTCTGGGCTCTCTAGTCTTTAACCACTCTCATAGTAAAGAAGCTTTTTCTCATGCTCAACTGAAATTTCTTGTGTGTCAACTTGTGTTCGTTGCCTCTTGTCCTTTCATGTGCACCACTGAGAGAAGTCCTGCTCCATCTGTTTTACAACCTCCTGTCTTGTATTTATACATAGATAATACCCACATGAGACTTCTTTTCTCCAGGCTGAACAGTTCCAGCTCTTTCAGCCTCTCCTGGTATGATAAAATACGATAGAACAGAACAGAATAGTTCAGTGGGATATTAGGAAAAAGGACAAATGTCATCTAGTCCTACTGCCTGACCACTTCAGGGCTAAAAGTTAAAGCATATTATCGAGGACATTAGGCAAATGCCTCTTGAATTACTGACAGGCATGGGACACCAACCACCTCACTAGGAAGCCTTTTACAGCATTTGGCAACCCTCACAGTAAAGAAGTTTTCTCTAGTGTCCAGTCTGAACCTCCCCTGGTGCAGCTTTGTGCCTTTCCCACATCTTCTGTCATTAGTTAGTAGGGAGAAGAGACCAGCACCTCCCTGTCCAGTTCTCCTCCTCAGGAAGCTGTAGAGAACAATGGAGTTGCCTCTTAGCAGCCTCTTTTTCTCCAAACTAAATAACCCAAATGTCCTCAGCTTCTCCTCATGGGATGCTTTTATCATTTATAATCTTTGTTGCCCTTTTCTGGACTTGCTCCATTTTTTCCTTGTCTCTCTTGGACTTGGGAGTCTATAACTAGATGTGTCTCATTAGTGCTAAGGAGCAAGGAGGGATCTCCTTCCTCAGGCTGCTCGTATTGCTACTCCTAATGCATCTCCGGGGGCCATGGGCCTTTGCCACAAAGGGCACAATGCTGGCTCAAGGTCAGTTTGATGTCCAATAGGACCCCAGGTTCTTTTCTGCCAAGATGGCCTTCAGGC